CATCCCTGCTTCCCCCCAGCAGCTGCAAAACCTCGGAGCGCAAGAGCCGGGGAGGAAAAGCCGAGGCCAGGAGCCGTGGGGGGGCCAAGGAGAAGACCCTGGAGTGTGGGCAGATCGTGTGGGGCCTGGCCTTCAGCGCCTGGCCCGTGGCTGAGGAGGGGGACGCGGATCCCACCTGTGCCCTGGGGCTTCCCTGCCTGGTCCTGGCCACCGGACTCAACGACGGGCAGATCAAGGTCTGGGAGGTGCAGACAGGTGAGGGGGCCTTGCTGTCGTGATTTCAGGCTGCTGTCCTTCTTCAGGCTGCTGTCCCTCTTCAGGCTGCTGCCTCTCCCCTTGTTCCCCCGTGGAAGGAGATCCCATCTCCATCTTTCCCCGATACCTCCCCTGCCCTGTCCCTGGGCACGAGGGGCACTGCCATGGAGGGATGGCCCTGAGGGTGGCTCTTCTCCTCAGGGCACCTCCTCTTCAGCCTCTTGGGGCACCAGGATGTCGTCAGAGACCTGAGCTTTGCTCCCAATGGAAGCCCCATCCTCGTGTCGGCCTCGCGGGACAAGACCTTGCGCGTGTGGGACCTGAGCAGAGACGGTAGGAGCCTGCAGGGATGTCCCTGTGCAGGGGCAGCCCTGGCTCAGGGAAGGGGGAGAAACCCACCTGGGGCTCAGGGAAGGGGAGAAACCCACATTGCATTCAGGAAAGGGGGAGGAACCCACCTTGGATTCAGGAAAGGGGGAAGAACCCACCTTGATTCAGGACAGGGGGAGAAACTCACCTTGATGGGGAGATGTTGGGAGAGGACCTGGAGGGACAGTATTTGAGGCAGAAAGGGACAGCCCTGTGACAGGGAGCAGAGCCATCCCCTTCCAGGTAGGACCTGGGAGGTGCAAGAGGAGGTTGCAATTAGGCAGAGCTTGGGATGAGCCCAGGGAACCCCCAGCCCAAGCTGGTCAGAGCACAGTGCCAATAATGCCGAGGTTGTGGGTTGTGGGTTTGATCCCTGTAGGGGCTTCACTTAGGAGCTGGACTCGATGATCCCTGTGGGTCCCTTGCAATCAGGATATTCTGTGACTGTGTGAGTTCCTGCTGGGAGCCGCGTGTCCTGCTGCCCTCAGGTGACACGAGTGCTGTCCCCAGGGCGGCAGGTGCAGGTGCTGGTGGGCCACGTGCAGTGGGTGTACTGCTGCTCCATCTCCCCGGACTGCAGCATGCTCTGCTCCGCCGCCGGAGAGAAGTCGGTGAGTCCTCTGCCCCTGTGTCCCGCTGGATCCACCCTCTGTGTCCCCCGGCACGAGAAACCTCCTGGGGAGAGGGGGCCAAGCCCTTGCTGCTCAGCCATCCAGGCTCTGTGTGGAGCAGGGAGTTGGGAGCTGGTAGATCTTAGAATCATAGAATCATAGAATCAGCTGGGTTGGAAGGGGCCTCTGAGATCATCAAGTCCAACCCTTGATCCACTACCACTGTGGTTCCCAGCCCATGGCACTGATGCCACATCCAGTCTCATCTTAAAAACCTCCAGGGATGGAGAATCCACCACTTCCCTGGGCAGCCCATTCCAATGCCTGATCACCCTCTCTGGAAAGAATTTCTTCCTAATATCCAACCTAAACGTCCCCTGGCACAGCTGAAGACCGAGCCCTCTTGTCTTGCTGAGAGTTGCCTGGGAAAAGAGACCAACCCCCACCTGGCTCCCCCCTCCTGTCAGGGAGTTGTAGAGAGTGAGGAGGTCTCCCCTGAGCCTCCTCTTCTCCAGGCTGAACCCCCCCAGCTCCCTCAGCCTCTCCTCACAGCACTTGTGCTCCAGTCCCTTCCCCAGCCTCGCTGCTCTTCTCTGGACCTGCTCCAGCCCCTCCATGTCCTTCCTGAAAGGCTGCTCAGCCCGATCCCTGTCGCTGTCCCACAGGCGCTGCTGTGGAGCATGAGGTCCTACACCCTGATCCGGAGGCTGGAGGGGCACCAGAGCAGTGTCGTGTCCTGCGACTTCTCCCCGGACTCGGCGCTGCTCGTCACCGCGTCCTACGACGCCTGTGTCATCATGTGGGACCCCTACACCGGGGAGCAGCTCCGGACCCTGCGGTGCGGGGAAGGGGACACCCTGGGAGGGGGCACGGCGATGCCATGGGGGATTTTAGGGCTGGGTGTGACCTTCCCTCCTAGCTGGGCATGGCCACCCCCTCTACACTGTGGTACAGAGCCAGGGGACACTGTGGGAGGGAGCAGAGCAATGCCATGGGGGTGTTTAGACCTTCACTCCTAGCTGGGCACGGCTACCTCCTCTACACTGTGGGATGGAGCCAGGGGGACACCATGTAATGGGGTAGAACATCCCTGTGGGGATTTTTAGGGCTGGATGTCGTGGAGGTTTTTAGGGCTGGGTGTGACTTTCCCTCCTAGCTGGGCATGGCCACCATCTCTATGCTGTGGTACAGAGAGGGGGACACGCTGTGGGAGGGGGCAGAGCAATGCTGTGGGGACTTCTAGGACTGGATGTTGTGGGGATATTTAGGGCTGGATGTGGCTTTCCCTCCTAACTGGGCATGGCCACCACCTCTACACTGTGGTACAGAGCCAGGGGGACACCATGGGATGGGCAGAGCAGTGCTGGGGAGGTTTTTAGGGCTGGATGTGACCTTCCCTTCTAGCTGGGCATGGCCACTGTCTCTCCACTGTGGTACAGAGCCAGGGGACACTGTGAGAGGGGGCAGAGCAATGCCATGGGGGGTTTTAGGGCTGAGTGTGCCCCTCCCTCCTAGCTGGGCATGGCCTCCACCTCTACACTGTGGTACAGAGCTGGGGGGACACCATGGGAGGGGACGGAACAATGCTGTGGGGATTTTTAGGGCTGGATATTGTGGAGGTTTTTAGGGCTGGATGTGGCTTTCCCTCCTATCTGGGCATGGCCACCACCTCTACACTGTGGGATGGAGCCAGGGGGACACCATGGAATGGGGTAGAACAATGCTGTGGGGATTTTTAGGGCTGGGTGTTCTGGAGGTTTTTAGGGCTGGATATTGTGGAGGTTTTTAGGGCTGGATGTGGCTTTCCCTCCTAGCTGGGCACAGCCACCCCCTCTCCCCTGAGCCCAGGGGCAGGATGGGGGTCTGGCTCGGCAGCACTGGGGAAGGGGCTCGTGGCAGCCCAGGGCTGACACTGGGCTGTTCTCCCCCCTTCCAGCCACGTGCCCCTGCATTCCACGCTGGATTACAGCAGTGACATCCACACCAGCTCCCTGCGCTCCGTCTGCTTCTCCCCAGAGGGTCTCTACCTGGCCACGGTGGCAGACGACAGGTGAGTGAACCCCCCTGGGGACCCAGGAGGAGACCAGAACAAATCAGGAGCTCAGGATGTGGGGAATAGATTGTGTACCGGGTCCCCGCCAATTCCTGGAGCAGGGAAAAGGGCAGGCTGCTGGGAACAGCATCTTGGGATCCCCAAGCTTGGCTGTAGCAAGGGGTAGCAAGGCCAGGGCCCTTTCACCCCTTGGAGCCACGAGCCAGGGCCCATGTCCTCCTCCTGTGCCCCTCAGCGTGTCACTTGCTTGGCAGGGGACAGACCCAAACCCCCGGGAAGCAAATCGTTCCCCAGTGTTTGTGCCTTTGGATGATCCCAAAGGCTTTGTTTTGGCAGCGGGCACTGTGTGAACGTGGACCTGGCATCGTGTCCCCTCCCTTTCTCCACAGGCTCCTGAGGATCTGGGCGTTGGAGCTTCGCTCTCCAGTGGCCTTTGCCCCCATGACCAACGGTCTGTGCTGCATCTACTTCCCTCATGGAGGTTTCATTGCCACGGGGTGAGTAAACAGGGGGAGAGGGCGGAGAAACAAGCGTCTGCTCCTTCCTCCTGCAGCTCCAGGTCCACTCCCGGCTTCCCTGGGGGTGCAGGATGGTTTTCCTGGGCTGTGGCAAGCTCGGGATCTTTGGGGGTAACTGGGACTTTCTGCTCTGTGCTCATGGTTTGTCGGACACTGCTGCAGGACCAGGGATGGCCACGTGCAGTTCTGGACGGCCCCGAGGGTGCTCTCGTCGCTCAAGCACTTGTGTCGCAAAGCTCTGCGCACCTTCCTCACCACCTACCAGGTCCTGGCGCTGCCCATTCCCAGGAAGCTGAAGGAATTCCTCACTTACCGGACTTTCTGAGGGGGGCAGGGAAGGCGGAGGCACGGAGGTGAGGGCCCCGTGCCCGGCGGCAGGGCCGGAGGCACCGCAGGAACGCCGAGCCGTGAGCCATGGGGGGGAGCGGAGTCGCCATTCCCCGCTTTTTGGGGCTGTGTGTGGGGACGTGGAGGGATCTTTTCGGTGTAATAATACTAAAACCCAGCCAAACCACGTGCAGAGGGCGAGGGGCAGAGCTGGGAGGGGACACAGGTCCCCCTGTCCCCGCTGGCTGCAGGGGTTGGGTCAGGTGCTTCTGCTTCCAAGTGCAATGGTGTGGGGTGAGGGCCGAGCGGGGCTGTTGTCAGCTGGGACAACAGTTGGGGGCTGTTGTCAGTTGGGGGCTGAGCCGCTCCCAGAACACCCTCCTGCCCCGGGATGGCCGCTCAGTCCCCCTGGAGTGTGGGCTGTGCCGCTCTCCCGCCGCGGGCAGGAGCTGGACAAGCCCAGGCAGGTCTCTGTGGACTAAATAAAGAACGATTCCTCACATGTCCTGGATCACAGAGTGCCCTGGTGATGTCCAGGTGGGACAGGAGGCTTCACTCCACCCCCAGCTCCCATTCCTTTGTTTTTATTCCATGCTGGAGCGTGGCACTCAGCCAGCCCAATCTCCAGGCACGCTGAGCATGGAGCAGGGCTGTGTTGGGTGGTTTTCCCCTTCCTCCAGCTCAGCTGGTGGCTGGAACAGCACATTCCCTGTGTGCCGGAGGGCTCGGTCAAGGCTGGGATGGAGAAGACAGGGAATGTCTCCTCCAAACATTCCCAGGAGGTTCTTTTTCCCTTGTGAGCACCTGAACACAGAAAGCTGGTGGTTCCCCAACCCAGGGGGGAAAAGCAAGACCAGTGCAATGTGCTGGGCTTTAGAGGCACCTGTATTTCCTGGGAATAACACTCCTGTGTCCTGGCTGCGGGCTCCAGGCTTCCGAAATGGGAAGGGAAGGCTGCAGGGAGCAGGTCCAGCTCCATCCCTTCCATCTCCAGCAAGATCCAAGCCAGGATCCACCCAGCAGGACTCAGGCTTCGGCCACCACCAGGTCCCTGGTGACTTGGAAGGCAGCGATGAGGGAGCTCAGCTGGATCTTCTCGCTGGTGCCAGCGGCCAGCCGGTACCTGCAGCAGGGGCCAAGGGTGTTTACACCCATGGGGGTGCCCCCCAAAGAGCCCAGAGCAGGGCTGGGGTCTGCCCTGGTGCCCACCAGGACCCTGGCACAGGACCCTGGCGCGGGGGGGTGACACTTACTCGATATCTGCCATCTTGATCAGCAGCTGGATGCGGATGGAGGGCGGGAAATCCACTGGGGAGGGAAGGAGACACATCAGTGTGGAATGGGGGGGATGCTGGCCCCCCCCAGCTCAGCCAGGCCCCCCCGTGTGCCACCTCTGTGCACGAAGAGGTGGAGCTCGGTCAGGATGTCCTGCAGGGCCAAGCCCTTCAGCGTCTTCAGCTCCGTGATTTCTGGGATGGCAGCGAGTCAAGGCCTTGCTGCCAGGCTTTTCCCTGCCAGATCCCACTCCTCATCCCTGTGCCAACCCCAAGGAGCCTCCCCAGCGAGCCTCACCCACCCCAGCCAGAGCAGGACACCCCAGGATGGAGATGCCTGGGAAAGAGCAGGATTTATCCCAGCAGGGAATAACCCTGAAGGCAAAGGACACTTCACCCACCCCAGCCAGAGCAGGATGCAGATCTCCAGGAAAGAGTAGGATTTTTTCCAGCAGGGAATAACCATCGAGGCAAAGGACACTTCACCCACCCCAGCCAGAGTGGGACATCCCAGGATGGAGATCCTTGGGAAAGAGCAGGATTTATCCCAGCAGGGAATAAGGCAAAGGATACTTCGGTAGGCAGTGGAGAAGTCCTGGTTGAGCATCCAGTCGAGGATGTTGGCGATGTCCGACTTGAGGGGGTGTCCCGTGCACGTGTAGACATTCTCCTCCGTCACCTTCCCAAAGGCCATGGAAGTGCTCTGAGGGAGAGGAGGGAGAGAGGAGGAAGAGGAGGGATAGAGGGATGAAGAGGAAGGATGAGGAGGCCCCTCCAGGCCACGGTCCCACCTGCAGGATGTTGAGGGCCCTGCGCATGTCCCCGCTCGAGAGGGTCACCAGAGCCTTCAGCCCGTCCTCCGTCACATCCACCCTGGAAAACAACACCGGCGCTGCACGGGCAGGCGGATCCGCGGGAATGCCGCGGGAATGCCGGCCCGGAGCTTGGCTCCGTGCGGGGAATGGGGGTGAGGAGGGTGCCCCTGGGCCCCGCTGACCCCTCCTGCAGGATGACGTGCTGCAGCCGCGGCACCATGAGCTCCGGCGTGAGGGGCCCGAAGCGGAAGCGGGTGCAGCGGGACTGCAGGGCGGGGATGATCCGGGACAGGTAGTTGCAGATGAGGCAGAACCGGGTGTTTTCCGTGAACTTCTCGATCACTGCCAAGGGGAGGGAGCAGAGGATGGAGGGGGCTTGGCTGCTGCCTCGTCCCAGTTCCCAGCCTGGGCCATGGTGTGGGATTCCCAGGGTGGGATTCTCAGAGTGTGGGATTCACAGGGGGTGGGATTCCTGGGGTGTGGGATTTCCAAGGGATGGGATTCTCAGAGTGTGGGATTCCTGGGGTGTGAGACTGTGGGATTCCCGGGGTGTGGGATTCCCAAGGGGTGGGATTTCCAGGGTGTGGGATTCCCAAGGGGTGGGATTCCCGGGGTGTGGGATTCCCAAAGGGTGGGATTTCCAGGGTGTGGGATTCCCAAGGGGTGGGATTTCCAGGGTGGGGGTTCTCAAGGGATGGGATTTCCAGGGTGTGGGATTCCAGTGTGGGATTCCTGGGCTGTGGGATTTCCGAGGGGTGGGATCCCCAAGGTGTGGAATTCCCAGGTATGGGATTCCCAGGCTGTGGGATTCCTGAGGGGTGGCATTCCCAAGGTGTGTCATTCCCAGGGTGTGAGATTCCCAGGGGGTGGGATTAGTGGGGTGTGGGATTCTCAGAGTGTGGGATTCCCAGTGTGGCATTCCCAGGGGGTGGGATTCCCAAGGTGTGGGATTCCCAGGGGGTGGGATTCCCAAGGTGTGGGATTTCTAGTGTACAATTTCTACTGTGGGATTCCTAGAGTGGGATTCCCAAGGGGTGGGATTCCCAGAGTTCAGGATTCCCAGGATGTGGGGTCCCTCACCTCTCCTCAGGGCATTCTGGGCATCCTGGGTCATGGCATCAGCTTCATCCAGGATGACAAGCTTGAAGCCTTTCCTTAAAAAAGGGGGAAAAAAGGGAGTGGGTTTGGTCCCTACTGTGGCTTTGGTGCTGGAAAAGGGGGAGCTGGGATGTTTATTCCCAGCTGGAAAA